GTTGTTGTGTTATAGAAATGGCGAGTGGTCGAAGACCTTGGTCAGATTATGATTCTAATTATCAAATCATGTTTAAAGTATATAGATTTATGTAATCTTTTTATTTATATTATATATAATATATTTTTTTTATATAAATATATATTTTATAATGCTTCTTTAGGTGGGAATGGGTGAAACACCAGCATTGCCAAAAAATCTTTCAATTGAAGGCATTGACTTTATTAATAAATGTTTACAACATGATCCAAAGAAAAGATTGACAGCAAATGCTTTACTTACACTTCCATTCACACAAACAGAAGATGTTAATGCTGATTTATTATTACCGCGATACCAAGCATAATTAATAATTAGTAAGAATTGTTACATTAAAAATTTTTTCAATTTAAAAATATTAAAAATTTAACATTAATACCTGTATCAGATCAATATCAATTTTCAATACTTTTTTTCATTATATTTGTTTTTCTTCATTAGTATTCTTTTTTCTTTAGTATTATTTATATTATTTTTCAATTTTCAAAAAAATTGTTTATAAATATTGTTTATAAAAATTGTTTATAAATATATGTTTATAAATATATTCCTTATTAAATAAGGAAAAAAAGTAAAAAAATTAAGGATATAAATATTGAACTAAAATCATTGTGCATTCTTAGAAATATAGCTTAAGAAAAGATATTTTCTATAGAATATAATTTATATTTTTAATAATATAATAAAATATTATGTGGCAATTAATATATATTTTTTCCTATTTTTTAGAAAAGTATTTAAATAATATGTACAAATGTATATTAAATGTATAATTGTATATTAAATTATTGTACAATAAAGAAATCAAATTATTTCTTTTTAATTGAACATTATATTTTAATTGAATTGTATTATTAATAAGAGAAAATAAAAAAAAATGGTGATGTTACAATATTGTTTATTTTTGCACGAGAAAACTTACATATGATACAACATACTTGCCAAATTAAATAATTACAGAGGTATGCTGTGTATACTTTCCATATGAACAGAAAGTGAAATGTGTTTAATATTACTAGATATTATATTGCATACGAAGACAACTATTTTGTGAAGATTTTTTTTATTCTGATTTTGTTATTTATTATTGTAAATTTCATCTATTTTATTATGTGTTTTAAGATATACATATAATTTCACATTAACAATAGCAGTCTTCGTAAGGAATGTATTTTATTACGAAATAATTCTA